AGCCATGAGTAATTTTTGTTTCCAGATCTAGCGTAAAGAAAAATCACTAGTTTATGGGACAAGCTATTATTTCCTCATATTATGTTGCACTCCCCTTTTTTTTCTGCATTATTGTCTGCCCTTTAAATCCCTTCTTTAAAAGCTGCTCAGTGATTTTCTATGCAGCCTCTGATTTTCAGGTTGGCTTCACAGAATCACAGAATTGTAGGGGTTGGAAGGGACCTTCAGAAATCTTAGAGTCCAACACCACTGCTAGAGCAGGTTCCCTGCTATAGGTTGCACAGAAAAGCATCCAGCAGGTCTTGAATACCTCCAGATAAGTCTCCACCACTGATCTGAGCAGCCCATTCCAGTGCTCTGTAACTCTAACAGTAAAGAAGTTCCTGCTTCCCTAAAAGACAGTCTTTCATCTTATTTTCCTTTATATTCCTCCATCCCATAAAATATTTCACTGTATATCATAGAATCATAGAATATCCTGCACTTGAAGGGACCAACAATGATTCTCCTTGACATCCGATGGGCTGTAAGTCCCAGATCTAGTGTGTGATTGCTGGAGGTGAATTACTTTTTCCTTGTAAGAAAGCATGAAGGTATTGAGAACAACCAGCAAGAAAAGCATTTGAAAAGATGTTCTCGGGACATATCTGTAGAAGCTCCTTCAGGGGACATCCTACAGCTCAGCTCTCAGTTGTATGGAGGCACACAGTGATTGTTGGAGGCATCTCTACTGCCTTAGTGTTCAACCACTGAGGCACCTACAGTGGTGTCAATATGATCAACAATAGTCAGCCTGCCTGCTTCAGACACACCAGAATTTGGCTCAGGTACATCCCACTGTGCAACCTGAGCCCAGGCTGCTGAGAAAGAGCTGTGAGAAATCTTTGAGATGCTGGAAAAAGGTCAGTTGAGGGGTATTGAGACAAGGACTCTGTTGCTCAAGGATTCACGAGGGAAAATGGAGGAGTATGAGGAGAGAAGCAGTGAGGCCGCTCAGATCAGTGTCACAGCCTGGGTGAGTCAGGACATAGCTCCAGCCATTGGATGGACAGCATAACTGCAAGATGGCAGTTCAGCAACCCGTGGATCTGGCCCATCCCCTCTCGGTGCCCACAAGACCAGCAGAGGCTCTGCATGTGCCACATGGAGGAGCTGAGTTCAGCCTGACAGCTCGTTAAATCCTACCTGTCTTTCAGGTGTGTTAGCCCAGAAGTAATTGCTTTGCACTTCTAAGTTGCATTCTTCACACTTGCAGAGTCTCTGCAGCTAAAAACGCCCAAAGAAGCTGATTGAATGGGGCCACCAAAACCAAGCATTGTTTTCCAAATGGTCAGCAGTCCCACTGTTACACCCCTGCTCTTCCATATGACTCTACTCTCTCCTAATGCCAGGGATTAACTTCTTTTATTCTTGCTCAGGAGCTGTACTTATCCAAACTGTGATTTCACATACCCAGACACAGAAAGCAAAAGCATTCAGCAAGGATTTAATCTCCACTTGACGACTGTGGTGCATCATTATCACACATATTCAGTTTCTTTGTCTGTCTGTAAATTTATTTACTTATTGTGTCTTTTATTAATGCACAATGGATACGCATTAGTGAAGGAACCAAAGTAGAATTAAATTGGTTTTCTATCTACTTTTGCTTTACAGATCAATAAATCTGTGACAGTAATGTGTTTAAAGCACACAGAAATGCTGGATATTTCTTTGCATGGACAGATATCCAAATATTTGCGTGCTATCCTCAGAATATTTATATTTTCTAAGCAATATATTACTTTTTTTTATTATTTTCAATTTACATAGAAGCTTAACTTCGCCTCTTCACTCACTTCTATTACCTTTGTTATTCTTCACAGACCCATACTCAGATCCATATATTTCCTTTATAGGTTTTAAATTTTCCTGCAGCCCCTTGTTACTGGCTCCCTAGCCAATTTATTTTACTCAGCAACATGATGTATTCAAGTGAAAATGGGAAGTTTATGCAATAGTCTCTCTAGACTTCTCTGAATATATTACTGTCTGGCCGTTCTGGCCACAGCACGCCTTATCTTAGGAACTATGCAGCCTCACAACCCTTGCACAGGGACCGCTGGAAACACAGCGTTCTGTGAATAGGTGAGATGAAGAACTAAAGATCCTGCAAATGCAAGAGCACTGAAGGATTTCATGTACAGATCATGAAGCTGAAAGTTAGGGATACAAAGGAAAAAAATGTGATTGGAGGAATGCTTCATGGAGAAACCTGTCCAGCACTGGAAAATTCCCTTGTAAGAGTAAGCAGAATACTTTTAAATTCATTCTTCATCGCCCCATGATGGAATGCACCACTCAGAAAACTGCTTCTGTTTTTTCCTGTTCTCTCTGATTTATTCAGGATTGATGTGGCCCCTCGGCAAGGCTACAAATACACTGCTGGAGTGAACCCACTTTTAGATCCTCACAAGCTTCTTCCAGTCCTATACTGAGCACAGCTTATCCAGAACAGAAAAGTCATATCTATCTAGTATAGATACTCATCTATAGTTGAGTCCACTGAAAGAGAGCTTCCAAGCAGGTCTAGAGCATGGTTTAGATTTAATCTCATATATCCACACTGAGACACCTTTATCAGTCTACTGTCACATCCCATACCATCACTGTGTTGCTACCATAGCAAAGTTCAGTCTCTGAAAGGAGTTTATGATGTAGTAGGCTGCAACAGAGAGAACAAGGCTCATCAACTCTGACAGTCTACTCCAGTCTTTTATTCCTGTCTCATTGTATGTCCATCAATCTGTTTTTCAGTTCTATGTGGCCATTTTTTTCCATGACAAATGTTCTTCCTTCCTGCCCTTGCTTGACTAATCTTTTCACCAGCTGTATTTGTGTTTGCAGAGTATGTGTTGCTATGCATTCATCTTTCCACCTCCACACCTCCGAGCTTTGGCAACAGTCACTTACATTCTTTAAACAAAAATGCTGTTAACTCTTTGCATCCAAAATAAGAAAAAGAAATGACAGTGCTATGGAATATGACTAGGCAAGGATTTTGCTATAGAGCCTGTGCACCGCAGGTGGGAAATGAGACAGCATCCCATTGGAAGACTTACGAGAATGCCAACATTTGGACTGAGTCGTGGCTCGCTCTCTGTTCCTCACTTTGTGGAACTGTAATTATTAGCAACAAATTAATATACATGCCCAACACAAGCTGGTATATAATAGGGAGGAGTGTGGGTGGCCGAGCAGCAAGATGTCTGTGTGTGGGTAAATAACAAGTAGCTGTGGTCCCACCAAGCGCTTGAGAATAGTGCTGTAGCTCCTGGGGCTCGGAAGGATCAATGACACGGCCAGTTGCTGCGCACTGACAACAATTTCCTGCCTCTGTATCCGCTGTCAGAAAGAAGCTGCCCACCCAAGGCCTCTGCAAATAGTACTGAAGCCCAGGAGAGGGCTCACACTCTCTCAGGCTGCAATGCCAGGCTGAACAGTGAGGTTTTTCCTGTCAGTCACTTAATTAAGACTTGTCTGTATGAGCTGGCAGGTGCAGCTTGCTGCGTGTTCCTATCCCGCTGCTTCCGGAATGGAAATACACAGTAGTCTTATAGACTGCACTTGTTTCTGCTCTAAAGTATGTGAACAATTTATAGATATACTTGTTTGTTTCTTTGATTAGGTTTTATTTCCTCCTTTGTACTTATTTCAAAGAGGGTATTGTTACAAAAAGCTCCAAGGACAGCCTATGCTGTTTTTCCCCATTCCATAATTTTCTTCTTACAATTTTTCTTCAAAGAATAAACAATACAGCATTCAGTGCATTGAAAGTGCAGTTTGCTAATGGAAACATTGCCCAGAGCTGCTTCCAAACCATTCTCCTGATCAGCCCCAAGCACTAAGCAGTCTCAGATGGGCACGGGGGACAGATTCATCCATGGGAGTCCCCTGGCATCACCATGTCCTGCCAAGCAGCTTTGACATTTTTGAGCATCAGCTGGATCTGTCCTCAAAGTGTTGACTTTTTTTTTTGCCTAATGCAGTGTTTCAGAATTGGCAATGAGTCCTTACACAGAACTGCCCTGTTCCTGACATTGGGACAGTTCAAGACATTCTGTCCTCTCTTTTCCCCTTCTCCCTGGTAGCCAGGCAGGTGCTGTTCCCTTTTAGTCCATCTTCCTTTCAGCTCCACACCCAAGTTCCTCCCTTCACACCCCCCAGAGCCTGGTATCCTCCCAACAGCACAATATCCATCCATGATAAATTTCTTCTTCCTGCTCCACAATTTATTTTCATAACCCAGTTTATTCCTTCAGAGAAAGCACAAGCAAGAAAATTCAGTAAAGGCTCATAGCAATTGCTTATTCCTTTTACGATGCCTGCTTGGCAGCGGTGGTTTTAGCAGTCATTTATGCCTGCACACAAAGTGAGGAGCTGCGGGTGGCGAGCCTGCCAGCATGGAGCGAGCTGCTGAGATTTCCCTGCAAGTCTCACAGCTCCGAGAACGCTTCCTGAAGTCTCAGCCTTGGGAATGCCGAGATCGTTTGAGAAGGTGATTTTATTACTCCACACAGCACAACGATAGCTGTTATGGCTCTGGAGGAGAAAGCGCGTGCGATGACCAAGCTAGACATCCCGACAGCCTCACGCGGCTCGCCCTATTGCCGCGCGTCTCCCGCCCCGTTCCAGGGGCCGCCCGGCGAAGCCTCAACCCGCGCTGCGGGCGGGGCCAACCCGGCCCCCGGGGCAGGCGGTGCGGTCCCGGCGCTGCCGCAGCGGCCCGGCCCCCGCCACCCGCCCTCGGACTACAACTCCCAGAGTGCCGCCGCCGCCGCCGCCCGCCGGCACAGCCCGCCCGCCCGCCTCGGCGCTGCCCGGCGCGGCTCGGCGCTGCCGCTCGGCTGAGCCCCGGGGCGCTGGCCGTGGCCGCAGGTAGGTGTGCGGAGCGGGCGGCGATGCGGTGTGCCGAGGGGTGGGAGCCGGGGCGGGACGAGGTGTGCCGGCGTGTGCGCGCGTGTGCCGGCTGCGTGGGTGCGGGTGCAAGCTCCGCACCGGCGGGGCACACACTTGTGCGCGTATCCAGCCGCTCCCCGCGAGCGCGTTACGTGCGGCGACCGCTGAGGTCCCGGGAAGAGCGGTGGGAGCCGCGTCCGTACCGTACCCATCGCCTCGGTGCCATCGGTGCACGTGTGTCGTCTGCGTGTGCAACACGTCCGCGGGGCTGCGCTTCTCCCTAATTGCGCGGGGAGTTCGGCCTCGGGTTGTCCGGGGGGTTACGGAACCGGGGGGGGGATAACGAATTAATTGCAGATGAGAAGTAATATCCGTCTTTGAGTCATCAGTCGTTGAGGCATAATTTCATTCCGAAAGCTCTTAATCAAACTGGAGATCTGCTATAAGAAAGCACCGCTCTTCCCATAGGATTATCAGATTTCCACCAGAGAATACAGATCCTGGATTACTGAGCTGTGTGGGATTTGCGTGATTCTTTCTAATTAGTCTCCCTCTCTGAGTTTAAAATTCTTAATTCGAAGGGGAGGAAGTTACTTGCTTCTAAAGGAAAATAGCTATCTTTTTTTTCCTCTGTCATTTTACATAGTTATTCCGGTTATTCTGTGCTCTGCAGATGACTTACGGCCTTAATTGGATATTGGTGTCAAAGGTTGATTAGAGTCCCTAATAGATTTTGGATCTGCAAGAGGATTATGGCTTTAAGTTCGTGGTTAAAACAATCGTGTTTGTCATCTCCCCTTGAGCAGCGGAGAGGACGAGCGATGTATTACATTTCTGTTATCTGCTCTTTGCTTCATTAACGTATTGTCAGGAGGTTGTCGGGTTTGCCTTTGTTGTTGTGTTTTTTTTCCCTCTGCTATTTCATTTGCAGACCGAAAAGAAATGAACGTCAGAGGGGATTTGTTTAATCATTTAGCAGCTGACACAAGCCATGTCCCTAACAAAACGGTGGTGAAAGAGTAGAAGATTTTTGGGATACGGCAGCTCGAGCACCATGAGACTGCTCTGGTGAGCCAGGGACAGCGCTTGCTGAAGGATGCGGTAGCCCAGTGGTCAGGGCTCACCGAAGGGAGGCCGATGGCTTGCATGGAGCTTCTCTACCTGGCTGAAGAGAGCAGGCAGGGTGCCCTGGGCCCCGCTGCCGGCTGGAGCCTGCCCGCCCCTCACTATGAGCAGCAGCAGCAACAGCAGCAGCATGAGACAGGAGAGGTGGACTCCAGAGCAGCAGCGGCTGTGGCAGCCCTGCGCTGCGAACGGCACTGCAAGCCCTCACAGAGGGGCTCCATGGCTGAGCCCACCTCAGCACCCCTGTCCTCCTGCTCGGGCAGCTCACCCCAAGAGCACCCCACACCCCCCAGCAACTCCCAGCCCTGCCACCTGCCTGAGCACTTTCCAGGGGAAGAGGATGGAGGGAAGAAGAAACCCTGCTGCTGTATCCAGGAACTCGAGACATCCTTCTCCTGCGTGGATGAAAATGTAAACCTGGAGCATGCAAGAAGTCCCTCCAGTCCAACAGGCTACCAGGATGCTCCTCAGCAGCGCTCCTGCCGGGAGCTGCCTCCCGAGTGGGTGCATGACTCTCCGTCCCTGGTCTCCGAGGAGGATGAAACTGCCTCGGAGGCAGCGGCTGGGAAATCCTTGGACTATGGATTCATCAGTGCCATTTTGTTCCTAGTCAGTGGGATTTTGCTGGTGATCATTTCCTACGTGGTACCCAGAGACGTGACTGTGGATCCCAACACGGTGGCTGCCCGGGAGATGGAGAGACTGGAGAATGAGAGCGCCAGGATTGGGGCTCACCTGGACCGCTGCGTTATTGCCGGGCTGTGTCTCCTAACCCTGGGGGGAGTGGTGCTCTCCAGCCTGCTGATGATGTCCATGTGGAAAGGGGAGCTGTACCGGAGGAGCAGGTTTGCGTCCTCCAAGGAGTCTGCAAAGCTTTACGGGTCGTTCAATTTCAGAATGAAGTCTGGTGCAAACGATAACATGCTCGAGCTGTCATTAGTTGAGGAAGATGTGCTTGCCATAGATAATTAGTGTGGTCATGATTTTTAAAGCAGTGTTTTCACAAAAAAAGTATGTTTCATTAAAGGAAATAGATGTGGCTAAAGATGGATGGTGATGCAGTTTGTTTTTCTGACAAGAACAGTCTTTTTGTGAGCTCTCTAATCAAATGTTTGCATTATATGAACACTTGTTGTAAAGGGAGAGCAAATGCAATTGGTATAAAATAATGAAAACCTCTGAATAAAAAGAGATTTTTGACAAGTAGATTCCTTAGATAACTCCTTTATCCTAACAAAAAGCGTTCCTTTGGTGTCTTGCCTACATAATTTTCTTATTACTCTCATATATAGAACAGGAACAACCTTGACATGTTGGAAGCTTGTTGCAGCCTACAGAAGGATTATTAACTGTCTGCTTGGTGTCGTGTTAAGAAGCAAGGCTGATATTTAATTAAAAGAGGTTTTTTTTATAGTTAAATTCTAAGCCAGTCCCTTCTTTTGTATGAGTGAGACCTGTGGGCAAAAAAGACCGCTTATTCATGGCTTACCACAAATCTCCCGGATTTTTAAGCAATGCTGCAATTAGTAGTGGTTATTTAAAATGTAAAAATAAGAGGCAAAGGGTAAGGAACATATGGCTCATGGTGGTATTGGTGAGAGACAAAAGGCTCTTTCAGCTTGAGGTCAGTGGTTCCATTTCAGTTCAGATTAGTAATGATTGATAGTCACTAGCTTCTGATAGCTATAGTGGCCCATATAAAGGAAGTTCAGTTCCCAGTGGACAGATGTCTTTGTATGAAAACTGCCATCACTTGAATTAACTGACCTCCTGTTAGGAGTCTCAAAAGATCCAATGAGTAAAAAAGCATGGGGATGCAAAGACTGAACATATCTCCTTCAGTACAGATGCCAGAAGAAATTCAAGCTCTGCTGCAGGGTTTGCTTATAGTGGGCCTGTCTGCATCACACGAATCCTTTTGAAACTTCAGTTTCACGTCACTAGGCTGCTGGCCTTCTCATTACCAGAAATAAAAGGTCAGGATGGAGCTTTTGAGGCTCATTCAATATAAACCAAATTATTTACAAAAAATAATTTGTCAGGAAATACAAAGGTTATACATCAAGCAGTTGGACTGGTTGGGATGGGGCTCACTTAATGCAGGGGGTGATCAAGGGTACATGGCACTATCAATCACCATTATGCAGCACGGTAGCCCAAAACCTCTGCCACTGATGGTGTTCAGTATCAGCCAGTTTCTGTGGAGCATTAAAGTTGTGCTCTTGTGACGGTGGGAAAAACGCAAAGGTTGTTGTATGTATGCACTGCTGACCTTTTGTCGTGATTGATTGCTAATATATATTTGTTCTAGCCCCTGCCATAGCCAAATGTGAGTGAAGAGCTGTGTCTGTAAGGACTGTGTAAGAGCAGTCTGTAAGCCTGCAGAACTGTGATAGAAACACTTGGTTTGTTGCCAGCTATGGGTTAAATCTCAAATATTAGAAATATCCAATATTTGAAGTATGAGATTTTTTACTATTGTAAGATAAAACCTGAGGAGAATCTCAGGAAGGGGTAGCAAGGCAAGGTATAGAATAACTAAAAGTCCTCCTGCAAAGGTGGTGCTGGGACTCACTGCTTCTGACATCGGTGAATCCCCCAGCTAGAGCTCCCAGCCTGTCTGCTTTCCTTCTCAGTCTGCTGTGACTGGTGGAGATCATGACTACTGCCTTATTCTTCTTTGGAACCCCTTTGGCAGCCAGGGTGCTGCCAACACGAGGCCAGAAGCACCCTGGCTGCCAAAGGGGGGCTCTCAGTGGCTGGTGTGACACAGAGAAGTGAAGGGAAAAGCTGTGTTTTATACCCAAAGAGAATGTTTATGGTCCATTCCAGCTCACATTACATGTAGCAGGGGAACTGCATATCTTCTCTGTTCTGTGTTTTAAAGTCCCTCTTGCCCTCTTCTCTGGCTGCTCATGGCAGGAGGCATACGCAGCTTCTGTGCTCAGTCCCTTGGGCTCAGCGGGCATGGCTGCCCTCTGCAGAGAGCTGGAGAACCTACACTGCTCTGCCTTCATGCCTTTGGTCGCTGTAAATAGCATAATGTTGTACTCAGACTTTAACTTCGACCCTGCAAAAGAGATGCTACTTAGCTGTTACTTGCTGTAGCTGCTGCATTAGTTGTGTTACTTGGTAACTAAAGGAGCAGCCTTGTTTGACGGTACTGCTGCCTAACAGATGTTATTTGCAGCTGTGTCATGATACAGAGCGTGTCTGAGGGCAGAAACTCGCAGTGGCCAGCAGTCACCTTGGGAGAGCTTACATCCCTCTGGGTGTGTCATCAAGGAGTCAGGATTGAATTGGTGAGACTGTATTCTGATAAACCACTGGAAAAGGGTGCCCAGAGAGGTAGTAGAAGCCCTCATCTTTGGAGGTATTCAGAGTCAGGCAGGACAGGGCTCAGAGCAACCTGATCTAGCTGCAGTGTCCCTGTTCATTGCAAGGGAGTGAGGCTAGATGGCCTTTAAAGGTCCCTTCCATCTCAAAAGGTTCCATGATTCTGCGATTCTATGAATTTCTAGGGTGAAAAAGAGGAATAGCTTACTTATGTAAGGAGAACCTTCAGCCCACTGGGATCAGTGAGAGCAGGGAGTGAAATTGCTTGAGAAGCAAGACGTGGAGAAGAAAGGCTGATTGCTAGCTGTCTTTTGCCTTGTGGGTACAAGGACACAACCTCATGTCCTCCAGAAGCACAGGGGAGGCCCTGCCAAGCACGAGGGCAGACTGCACCCGACAGGGGCAGCAGCAGCTGGCACAAGGCAGGGAATAGACATCATGAGGGGCAAAAACCCTTTCATCACCCCAGACCTCCTAATGGGAAGCCCTGTGCTCTGTGTTCATGTACACTGCAGAGGCTGGTGATTTTGTGAGCCATTATTTTTATTTTTTAATGATACATATGCATAAAATTGGAGTACATTCCATAATTGCAGGAAGATGACAGCTAACACTGTAAGGATCAGAGATTTCTTGTAGGAACCATGGCATGCTTTAATGCTGGTTATTAGCACTAGAAAAGAGCATGTTCCCCAGACTGCCAGTATATTATTATCAAGCGAGAAGTTTTCTGACACTTTGTAAAATGCCTGTCACAGATCATAAGCTTGCAATACTTAAATGAACCCTCAAATATTCCCTGAGCATTTTAAGGAAACATAAGTCAACCTAATAATCTAAATATACACTGCAGAAGTGAAAGGAATAAAAAAATAAATAAATGACAGAAGTAACACAATCTCTTTATCTTGTTGTTCATGTGTGCTACTAAAGATGTGAAGGCAGACTTTTAGAGAATGGAATGCAAGAGTTTAGCAGATGAACAATCTCAGGACATTTCTCTGATCACCAAACAAAACACCTGTGCAAATGGTAGGGCTGTGTGGGTTGGCTGTGTGATATAAAACCTCGGGACTCTCAGGTTCTAATGATGTGCGGTGCGAGAGAAACCCAACCACTTGCTATCTGGGTCTTGGTTGTAGGAAATGAACGTTATTTGTCTGCTGCCTGGTAGACAACTGTTCGCATCGCTTTGGTCTCAAATGGCTGTACCAAAGGCTGAGGCCAAGGGTGATTAATTGCCTATTCCTACAGCTCAGTCATTTGATTTCCCCTGCTCAGAATCTAAATGCTTTAAGGATGCAAGTTTGAGGACAATTTTTTAAATTGCCTGGGCTTAAATTTGTTGCATGGATCTGTGGAGGGCTTCCTTCTTGGAGGATGTAAATTTGGGGCATCTGAGGTGGGTTTCAGGTACCAGCTGTAGCACTTTGGAAACAGTCATTCATATCGAGGAGGAACATTTTATTCCTGACCAACCCTCAAAGCAAAATGTGACACTTGCCCATCTTCTACCTCATGACGTGTTAGCTGGGGTGCCAGGGCACGTGGCTGGGCTCTGCCAGACCTCTGCCTCCCTGGGGAGGGGTCACGAGGCCTCAACTGGAACTCCTCCCTGTGCCCCTACTGGTCCAACAACTCCCAGTAACCTTTTTTATTTATTTCTCTCAATCAGAAATCTGTGACAGAGGCTGGGCCATTTGGGAGCTGCCAAACACCTGATAGGGTCTCTGCCTGCAGTGAGGCCTGCGGCAATGGTAGGACCCCATCCTCACTGCCAGCCCAAAGCCCAGTCTGCAGCAGGGAACCCCGAGCTCTCTCCAAGGATGCTATGCTGGGTTGTTGCTGTTTTTGATACGTTTACAGTTTTTTAATCTTTGTAATTCTTTTAAGAGTCTGTCTGTAATGAATAACGAGTTTACTGACTGTGAAAGCAACAGCTATAATCTTGTGAAACCCCTTTTTCTCCCACAAAAGGGCGAAATGTCACAGTTCATCGTGAGCTTTTCAATCGTGCATTTGATGCCTTATTATAATTGCAGCAGCGTTCTGTAAAGATTAAAAAATAAAAGCCTGTAAAGCTGAGCTGTGTCGCTGTTGTTATCTTTGCCCCTCACTGAGCTACTGGTTGCAGACAGAAAGTGCCACGCATGCAGGCTTAAAATTTGCCTACACAGGTGTCCCACCCAACTCTGTATTTCCAGAAAAGCAGAGGAGCAGGGGGCAGCTGTGGCTGTGTGAGCAGATGGCTGTGGCGTGCTGTTGTGTGACGTGGGTGTCAAGTCCCTGCTCACTGTCACCACACACAACTCAATGCTGAGACCGTGTCCACACTCCAGCCTTGCCATGGCTTGCCCTTGGCTCGTGCATTTGTTTTCCCAAAACACCCAGCGCTGAGCATGCCAGCTCAGCACCTCACCCCCCCTTGGCAGCCTGTGTTTCCACCCAAACAAGGTACAAATGTATGGTTTGAAGGTCATGCCTTGCAGTGTCATTTTTCATACACCGAATGAAAGGGCCAGACCTCTTCCTACTGCTGTCATGTTAACCAAGGCATGCAAGGGAGTGTCACTACCGAGTCTCAATTCAGTTTGGAGCGGGCGCTGTCTGCATCTGTCTGAGTATCCACAGTACCTGGTACATTAGGCTCCCCTTCCCCAGTTGGGTTTCAGGCTGTTGTTGCTACAGCAGTAATAAATGCATCCCCAGGGGAAGTAAATTGACTGCAGTAAATTGCCCTCATGCCAGATATAGCCTATGGTGTATAACCAGTGGTTATTAAGAGGTTAAGAGAGTAGGTGTATTTATAGATATGACTATCTATGAGCATAAAGATCTGGGAGGCTTTCTAACTGAAGGCAACCACTGTATTTGTTATTAGTTTTTACAGGATTCTTTTTAAGCTTATATTTTTACATGTTGAAGGACTCATCATCACATATTGTATGGGGACAGGGACTTTTTTCCCTTGTGCATAAATCCTGACAAGTTCAAGAGTCCTTAGACTGCAGAATTCTCTGATTTTCTTACTGGTTTAAAT